TTTAAAGGGGTTTTTTTTTTTTCCTTTCTTCCAAACAAATCATTCTGCTTCTACAGGTTTTGATATGCTATGGAGATTTAATATTTGAGTATTTATTGGAAGTATGTCTGGACAAGTAAGAAAAGTCATAATTCCATTTTCTGGAAGATTCCAAATCCATTTTCCAGTAAGTTTTACTTGTCCCATAGAGAGAAACTGACATTTAAAAACCAAACAAAAACACAATTTGAAGTATTAATTTTTCATGCCTCTTCTTATTATTGTTTGATTTGCTCTTGTGTTAAACCACTACATCTTAAATGCATCCAAATAATTTATCTCTGTTCATAATACCATGACAGAATGATTGCACAATATTTACAATATACATATAATCGACAGTCTCAAAATGATTTCCTTTAACAAGAATAAGACTCATATTTATGCTTTGTTTTTTATCATTTTGTCTTTCAGTTGACTTTAAGCCTCATGCCAGCATGGACACTGTCCATCACATGTTACTCTTTGGATGTAACATGCCTTCTTCCACTGAAAATTACTGGTAAGAAATACAGGCTTATATTAATTCTTATAGTTTAATTTCTTGTCAGTGTTGACTACACTCATATACAACTTTGGAGGGTCCCAGATTTTAATTAACAAAAAATTGAGAAGGGAAAACAAATTATAGATTTCATTCCCACTGAACTTTTATATTTGAAGGTTTTGGTAAATGTTTAATACAGCTGTAAATCTGATGCATGTGTGTAATAGCAGTGCTATGAAGATATACTGTCAGTACAGCAAATATGTTTTTGTCAATGTGATGGAGGGCATGAACTTCTCAGGTCTCAGCCATACTTGAGAAAAAGTAGTATTTATAGATTTGAATTAGACATTAAAATTTCAGTTTTGAAAGAAAATACCTGAAGAATTAATGTCTTCTAAGTATTTTCTATAAAGCTTATTTATGAATGAAGTGTTCACTTATTTACACAACTGTCAGATTTTTGTGGTTTATTTTGCTACTTGTGGTTCATGACATGCATCTTAATTTTTAAAATTTGATCTTCTATAATCCTCTCTACTCATCTTTCTCTTTCCCTTCCCTTTTCCATTCCCCTGAAACCCTTACCCAGTGTGGTCTAGGAAAGTCTTAAAAAGATCAGAAAGATGAGGGTCCAAATTGTTGTCAATGCTGCTCATTACCTCCTGTGTTCAAGTTACTGAATTATTTTAAATCAGAGCCTTTAAAACTGAATAGTAGTCAGCTGTACAGAGCAAGATCTTTTTTCATACTTAAAGTTTGGTGTCATAAATTTCAATCACCTAAATAAATTGCCTAATTTTCAAAGGCATTGAGCACCTTAAATTTGCCTTGGAGTTGTTAAGCAAGTAATAACTATGCAGGGAAGTAAGAAAAATACAATGTGATTCATATCCTGGATGGTCTCCATTTTGCTTGGTTTTAGGATAAGGATATAAAAGGGTTTTTCCTCCTCCTTCCCCTAATAAAATTTAAGTTGCTTGCAAACTTAAATCCTGATGATGTTCCTCTAATTTCTAAATATAAATCAGATGAGGTTTAGTGGAGGGAAAGGAGAGGGGCAGGTCAGTACTTGGAAATAAAAGAAACTAGGAGAAAAGGAAAATTTTCCATTTTTAAAATAAATGGATATCTCTTTCTTAAAAAAAAAAAAGAAAAAAGGAAAAAAAGTTCAGATTTTACTTCTGATTTTATTTTTCTGTTCAAATCATGGCCCCTGGAAGAAGCTTATACAGATAATAGTTATAAAGTCATCTGAATTCAATAATTGCCATTAGTTAATCAAAATTTACTTCATGTAACACATTTCCTGAATTGCAGAAGAACTACAGATCCTTCTTCAACTCAGACTTGGAAAATGTCTGAATAAAGAGTTTGATCAGAAAAAAACAAGCAAAGCCTATGTGCTGATAGGGCTAAGAGCCCCTCTTCATGTAGCTAAAGGCATAATGGAATCTAATGCACAATCCACACCATCATATCTTGAGCCATGCCTCACATGCATGGCAGGAAGCACGATTATGGAATTGTGCATTAGATTCCATCATGCCTTATTTCTGGTGCAGGGGGATCACCTGAAAGAAGCACCCTTCTGTGACTGACAGCCCCTCAGCTGACCCCTGGGGCTTGGAGATCGTGACAGTAACCCATGACTGCTGAAACCTAGAATCCCGCAGTTGCACGTGGTGCACCCCTGTGGCTGGGAGCCTGGTCAACTGCTGGAGCAGACCCTGCTACATGTGCAAGTTAAAGCTGGAGAGCAGCCAGCTATAAAGTTGTTATACATTTTCCAGCAATAGCTTTATAGCTGCTTGGACCGTTTTATGGTGGGATAGTTAATTTGCATGTGTAGCCAGTCTAAATTAATTGTGCAGTTAACTTGGTAATTGCGTGATGCATATAATGTGTAGGGAAAGCATAGGAGTTTGGGAGGTAAGCAGAATTCTGTACCGAGAAGTCTCCATTGAGTAGACTCTCCTCAGACATTCAAATAGTCAAAAAGGAAGCACAAAGAGTGCTTTTAAGCTGCATTTAAATTTAATTCTAAGTAGTTCTTTTAGCTCAAAGTAACACCATCATTTGCACACAGAAATGAATTGGGATTTTAATGTGGGACACAGAATTGATATGATCGGTGGATGAAATAACATCAAATATGCTGAAATAATGTTGAATGTGCTGTTATTTCATTGAATGAAATAATACTGAATTGAACTATAAAACAAACAAATTAACTTATGCGAAGTCAGGGAACCCATATCAGACATGACTCTATTCTTAAACTCCCCCCTGAAAACAGCTCCTAAGTCTGCCAGCTCAAGATCCAAAAAACACTTCATCTGTAGGTGCCTTTGTGGGGTGTCAGCTTGTTTGTCTTGTGCTTCATCCCGCAGTTAGCCTGTTTTCCTATTTTGTAGTTTCCTGCGGAGGAGGTTCTGCAACTTCTTGCTTTTTCTATTCTTCCTATTTATCTCCTCCTTTCTGGTACTTAAAGTCTTCCTAAATGTTCACCACAGTTCTAGACAAAGCAGGGAATGGTGGCATCTTGGAAACTAACATGAATTCACAGATCTGATGAAGTAGGCTGCCACTTGTGAAAGCTTATGCCCCTCTGAACCAGTTACTTTCTCAGGTGTTACTATGTCATGACATCAGGCTAACGCATCTAACTACCTTTTACAGTTCTCTAGGTCAGCAAATGGCTTTCTGGCTTACATTGCTACTTGCCATTTTGCTGGTGTGTGTGCAGAAGTGGCCTGGTAGGTGGTTGCAGGGGTACTATGTGAAGAAGAGGCTTGAGTAGAAGAAAAAAGTGATCTGTGTGTGTGGGGTGGGGGTGGATCTCAGAATAATCAAATGAAAGTTTGCATTTATGAAAAAAAAAAGGAAATGCTGCAACCCTTGGGTTCTGAAGCAGTATGGAAGAACTAAGGCCCTCTCTGCACGTTATAGGTATTGTGCAATTAACTGGTTAAGTGTGCAATCACGTTGAGACCAGCTATGCATGCAAAGTAGTTATCACACAATATAAAACTCCAGCTAGCTATAAAGTTAGACCTCAGACATAACTTCTATAGAGGGTTGCGATAAAGCTTTATTTTGTATGTGTAGCAAGGTCTCCCCTGCAGCTGGGATTGCAATTGTGGGGATGCCGCGTTAGAACCTATCACGCACCTCTCACCTGCACATGTGAGGGTTTCTAAAAGTTAAACCTGTGTTGAAAGGTGTAGCCTTTTCAGTTAATTTGCACCTACACATATAGCATGGCAGATCATATTTTAAACCAAGCAGATTGCACTGGTTGTGTTTAGCTGTTTGCATATAAATGGAAATCATATTGATTTAGATGACTTTGTGAATGTCTGAAGCTCTGATGTAGTCCTTTTATAGATTTGCCTGGTGCTTAGGTCAAAATAGTAGAAATACTGTGAGGAATCAATTTTCTCTTCAGATTTGAATGAGGGTTCTTCTAATTATGAAAGAAAATTTCCTTTGGATGTTGTTCAGTCAGTAGCATTTTTTTCTGACTCTTAAACTACTAGAAGAAAATGCCATGCCAGTGCCAAAATAAGAATTGCCATTTACTGGGTCAGACCATGGGTCCATCTTGCCCAGTATCCTGTGTCATATAGCGGCAGAGAGTAGATGCTGAAAGAGAAAGTGAACGAGATATGATCAGGGTTTTTCCCTTGTTCGTCTTTTACTTGCAGCCTCCAGGAGTTAAGATCTAGGAAGTTTTGAATCAGAGGCTGCATCCCTGACTCCCATGTTCAATAGCTCCTGAAGCACTTTTCCTCCAAGAATTCGTCCAATCCTTGTCTGGGTATGGCTAAACTTTCAGCTTCCACAACGTCTTGTGGAGATGACTTCAACGCTTTAATTATATGTTATGTGAAAGAGAACTTTCCTGTTAATTTAAAACTTACTATCTACTAGCTTTATTTTACAACCCTTACTTCTTATATTGTGAGAGATAGTAAATAATAAATCCCTATTTACTTTTTCTTCACCATTTTGTATTTTGTAAACTCTTATGTGTCCCCACCACTCCTTAAGTATCTCTTTTCTAAACCAAATAGGACTAGTCTCTTCAGTCCCTCCTCATATGGAAGCCCCTCATTACCACTAACCATTGTTGCCCTTTTCTGTATGTTCTATATCCTTTTTGAGGTGTGGGGACTACAACTAGGGACAGTATTCAAGGTGTGTCAGCACCATGAATTTATAAGGGGGCATAATGATGCTTTCTATTTTGTTTACAGTTTCCTTCCCTGAGAACCTATGCAAAGTACATTTGACGAAGCCTTTGTAATACAGAGGAAAAAGCTCTTAAACTATTGTTTGTTTGTTGATGTGGCTGCATCAGTGATGCAATAGGAAATATTTGAACATTCAGTTATGGAAGACTGGATTATGCGTTTATTACTTATTACTGCTTCTGATTGTATTCCAAGGTTCTTAGATCATATTTTTAGTCCATTTGCTGTGAGGTCATAGTTGATCATGGACTAGGAGTAATGATCCAAATACACATCTAGCCTGCCCTCTGTCTATATTCAGACTAAGACAGTTAATTACCTCTCTGCTCTAAGAATGGTGAAAATAAGAATAATCTTGTTCTCCATTTTCTAGGTGGGGGAAGAAAACTTGTTCTTCTTCCTAGGTACTGATCTTTCTCTGATCTCTCCTTGTTTCAGTTCCCCTCACCTCCCCATCACTTGGTGTCTTTCAGCACTAACCATCAGACTCATAACAGAAAAGTGGATATCTTTTCCATGGCTTCCATTCCATTAGCATCAGTTGCTTTTCAGCTGCTCTGTTTGCTCTGGAATCCATTTCCTTTTCTTTCCTTAATATGGCTATAGGATTCAGGCTCCTTGATCTTTAATTTTTTCTGTCTCTTTTGTTGCAGTCTGCTTGCCAACTCCCTGCTCTGCCCAACATGGCTTCCTCTGCTTCTGTTCTGTCACTGTAGAGTATCCCTTGAACTTGCTGGTTTTCTCCAAAATTAATTT